CCCCCTTGGCTGTTTTGATTAAGGCTGTGTGTGGAGCGTGCCTGGCGGAGATATTTGCTCAGACTAGGCCGGGGATTAAGGGCTTCTCTGCTGGGACCCAGAGAAAACAGAAGTCTGATCCCCTCCATGTCCCTCCGCGGGGCAGAAGTGGGTGGCGACTGTGTTCGTGTGTGGAAACCAGTTGGGTCAGCAAGTGTGCGTTTGAGCGATTCTGTATTTATATGACAGTGTGAAGCCACATATGCATATTTCCTCCGTGTGATTGCGTGCACACGGAGAGATGCACACAAGCGATCCTGGGTGTGCGCAAATGCTAACACTGCTGCCTCCCTCTTCAAAGCAATCTCCCTGATCCCTTTACTTCATCATTTTACATGGCCTTCATGATGCCCAGGGCACCTCACATGCAAACACACACACACACACACACACACACACACACACACATTCTCAGAACCATGTTTTTCTAAAGCGCTGCTGGTTGTTATCGTACAGCCCACCCATCTTTCACCGCACTTCTGTAACGTCTGTGTGCAAAAACAGGCTCAGAGTTGCGTGTATGGAGAGGGGTGTTTGGATGAGTGGAAGTTTTGGTAGCTTAGGCGGTGGGTGCAAGCTAATTGTGCACATGTGACTTCACACAGGTGCTCCTTGCGTCTATATATATATATATAGACGCAAGGAGCATATATATAGGTGCTTGTTTGCGAGGGCGAGTGATGCCGTACTGATGGAATGAGCAAAAAGGGGAATTTAAGAAGAAAGAAAAAGCAGATCAAAGAGATTTGCAAGGCTACCAGAAATGCCTGTCTTTCTGCAGCGGCTAGCCCCACCCTTAAAAAGAAAAACCTACCACATGCGGTAAGCTGTTTTTCAATAGATAGACTTGAAGTTCTCCACAGGTCCGTGCCATCGATACTGAGCTGAATTCTCTCTGACAGGGGTGGTCTGTACGCTGTCCCACAGCAGATGTTGCCATTCCATTTTCTCTTTCATAGTTAGCTGCCCTTCAGAGAATTTAGCAGGAGGATGAAAACTGTCTCTATTTATTACTGTGAGTAAGTGTCGCTGAAGAGGCCCTGCTGGCTCAGGAAGGAAGGAATAACAAGCAAATTGAACAAGTCAACAAATGGACATCGGCCGTCGCTTCCCTCTGCTCCCACGACACCGTGCAGGTTGTTAACATCACATTATTTTAGCATTGTGACGACTAGCATGAACAAGCTTCAAAAATCTGTAGACTTTCAACAGGTTTCCTCCTCTCATCGTGGTTCATCTAGTGCCTGTCAAAGCAGTCAGCAGACTGCAGGAGGAAAAGGCCAAGGGACTCCTTTAGCAAAGAAAAACACACAGGTGCAGTGAAGGAAAAGATGGAGATGAGGTGAAAAGAGGAACAGAGACATCTTTAGAGAAAAAGATATGAAGACAAACTAACAGCTTGTCACACAAGGTGTGATTGATTGTTATATACACTGTTACATTAAGACTGCAGTGACAGAGGCATGTTTGCTGTTTTAAGCTTTGGATTTTTTATTTTAAAACCATCATCAGGGGGAGGGGGAGGTAGAGGTAATGACAAGAATATATATATATATAAGGCTATGTCCACACAAATATGTTTTCATTTTAAAATGGTCCAGACAAGCATTTTAGCTCCGTATCAGAATTAATCTCCATCCATACCAACAAGCCTGACAACCCATATCACATCACCATTCATGTACACCGGACATACACGTGCCAGTGTAAACAGGGGGCAGATTGTCTTCCCTGCAGTTGGTTGCTTAGTTACAGAAAATATAACAACAAGGAACAGCAATGGCAAAAAGTAGATCAGACTTCTTTGCTTGGACCAACGTCAAGGTCGAGCCGTTCCTGAAATTAATATGCGTATAAGATGGTCTCGGTGGCGGAAAACACAGATTGGAAGTTCTTACAAAACAAATATAATGACATAGTAGAGCGGTACCAGGAGCATTACCCAACGAATCAGGGAAGGATACATTGTGACTGATGAGACCTAATCAGGAAATGAATGTGGGTGTCTGCGTCATTGTTTCTGAAATTGTTTTCTCTAAAACCAGCCCAGCAGTGTTTCTTAAATTTTCCTAGTCAGGGGCTCGAAAACTCCAGAGTGGATGCCAGGCTTACGCGTAGCAAAAGTAATGCATTTTAAAACGCAAACATATTATTGTAGAAGTAGCCTGCCAGTAGATTACACAGTAGCATTAATTAGGCAATTAATTTCACAGGCCTAAAAAAAGTGGTGGTTTGTGAGATTGAACATCACCAAATACATACATTATGCAACTACATTAACTTAATTTCTTTAGAGGCTTTTAGACTGCTATTCAAGAGGGGTTTGCATCTATATGTATTCCTGGCAAATTGCTTCCTTAAAGCTGAGCAGACACTGAGCAGATTAATCTTGATTTTAATGCCAGCTAATTATAGAGTCGGGCCAAATTTCCACTAGATAGACGGTTATTCCACATTCAGTTTGAGGTGCCTGAATGATCAATGATCTGATGTTTGGAGATTTCTCAGAAAGTTTGGTCAGCTTGAGCTGATCCTTTCCCTTATGGCTGCCGTCCTTTTATAAAATGAAGTTATTTTACAGTCTTGACTGAGACCGCACTGCTACAGACATAAAAACCAACTATCTGTCCACATCAGCTCTCTGCAGGTACATCTTTTTTTCCGTCTCGCTTTCTGTTCAGAGAAGAATTGCACAAAGTAACGCTGCAGTTTTAGGGATGACATCATTTTGTTTGAGTAAAACTTTAATGGAATTGTCAATGTACAAAACTTACTGGGAATTCTGTTTCCCCAAGTTGTGACTGGTTGATCAGACTATACAGTGTGAGCATAGTAAAGTCCTATGTTTTGTCCATGCAGATAAGCTGATTAAAAGGTGTAGTTTGATTTAATAAAAGTATCTGTATAGCCTAAGTAGTAAAATGTCTGAATATTTGATTTGATTGTTTCAGTATTTTTGTATGTTGTGAATAAATGATCCTTTTAATGTTAAATCATACATATTAGCTAGGACTGCAATTTGAAGCAATTTTGAAGACACAGGAATTCTACCCCAACTTCCTTCACACTGTCCCCCAAAAAGTCTGCACCTCTAGTCTGAGTCCTCCAGCTGCCAAGAAGCTGCCAGGAGCGCCAAAGTAAGACTTTCAGATTGCAAGTATCTTTTAAATTCCTCAGTGCCTCCTTTTGACTCTCTGCCCTGGAGGCTGGATGGAGATAAGCAGAGACAATATGTGAAGGTGTAAGAGTGGAGATAGGAGAGCAGTGAGGGAGTGCTGTTATGATTCTGTAGGAAGCTGAGCTTGTTAGATGCGTGAGCAGCACTGTAATGACTTTAATGTTCTCTCTGTAGCCTTGTGGATATGGTATACTTTTACACTTATGCATACTCTCATACATACATACATTTTGAGGTTGGATCATTGCTATGAACAGAAAAAAATGTATAAAGGCCAATACATATAACATCTTTTATTCAATGAGTGCCTTAAAAATCCCAACAACTTGAAGTAAACAACAGTCAGAACAGCACAGTTAGATTGGTAACATAAACCACCACCCCCTCAAAAAAAAAAAATCTATATTAGGTTCTTTTCTGATGCTCACACCAAAAAAAACAAAAAAAACCCAAGAAAAAACACTTTTGTATTTTGTGTCTTTTGAGGAACATCTGCTTTTAGAAAGTGGCTCACAATACAAGTAGACAGAAATTAGGAACACAACTCAGCCATTGTTCTCATGCTCCCTGGGTTTAAAAAGACTTCCACACACACATCGCCTCGAGGCAAGGAAGGCCAGTGACATCAAGTGTATTCAATTCACAAGGAGGCATGTTGAGGAAATTTGAGTCACAGCTTGGGAAGGCCCTTTTGGAGGTCTCTTCCCTCCACCGGAGTCGCTGTTGCTTGAATAATAGCGAGTGCTATCTTTGCCTGTAACTTCATTAACTGAGGGTGGGGAAACAACCCTTGAAATAACAAAGTCACAGCTCTGGAGCTGAAAGCTAAGTGGAGACGAGTGTTCCCACACTTGTCCATGTATAGTAAATACGTATTAGAATGCATGACCTGAAATTAAATTGAGGATAACATGTTTTAGTGTTCAGAATAAAACAAACAAAACTCTAAAAGGCATGGGGGAGCATAATAATAAAAGAGGAAATAATCACTGAGGAGTTATTCAAAATACATACATACTGCTTGTGTACCTCTTGAATAAATACATTTCAAAAATACATATATTTTTATCTTTTCATATTCTTTTTGCTAGAAAATTTGAAAGCAGCTATGTATGTTTAAAATATGGCATTAAATCATTCAGTAAGAGCTTTTATCAAAAGCCCCTGAACACAATGTGATTTCACCCATCTTCTTGAAGAAGCACTGCATACAATAGTACTGTCTCACAGCCAAGGACCTCAAACAAAAAAAAAAAAAAGAAACAGTTTCTTCAGATAGTGCAGGGAGACATGACGCAAATCCTTCAACAACTCAATCGCATTTTCTCACAGGAAAACACCTCCATGATTGTGGATTAGAGGCAGCTCTGATGATGAAAAATGGAACAGTGAAAGATTGCATATCTGGGATGCCACTGAGGAGAGACTAGGCCTCTGTCTCTCCTGGAACAGCCACATATTGCTTACGGTTAGTGCTGAGGCCATATTTCTACGACAGATTAATATGGACACTGTTTGGGAGGACAAACAAGATTTTGAGAATAAAATTGTCATATCTCTGAAAAAGTCACAAACATATCAGTCTGCAATAAAAAGTTAAAGTAAAAGTAACAATATAAAAATAAAGTAATAGTTTTATGAGAAAAATATTCTCAAAATATAGCAACTTGTTTTCTTGTAAAATTATTACTTCATTCTCAGTTTTTGAGTGTAAAATCATAACTTTTAAATATACAGTATATATATTATTGAGATAACTATATTGCATTAAATTAAAGGCATAGTTTTACCAGAATAAAGACACAATGTTACAAAATATTAAAATAATAGAATTATGAATCTATGAGAAAACAACAGTTATAATATTTCTTACAAAAAAGCTTTTGAGACAATAACAACCAAAATGTTATAATTTGATTAAACTACATTAGATTAAATTTGCATGTTTTAGTTTTGCCTGACTGTTATACACATATATTGTTTTAACTGCACTGTACTAGGATATTCACAAAATAGTTTTCAACTAAAATTCAATTTTTTTTTTAATCTTAGCCTTATTTCTTGTAACATTATTACTTTTTTCTTGAAATATTTCTACTTTACTCTCAAAATCTTTTTTCCTCCTAGAGTGGCTCTAATAGTCCATCGTAGTATTTCCCACAGTCCTCAGTGTCACAGGTAACACATTCAGTCATCCCAGCCAAAAAACCGTCCTGTCATCTGGTAGAACTTCATGTTGAAGGGCCTGTAGAAGTCCCGTAGCCTCTGCACCACCTCAGGGTCAATGTTCGGATGGGTCCTCCCTTTGGTTTTGCCCAGGCAGTGGGGCTTGCTGCTGCCCTCCGCCTTCTTGAGGCACGGGAAACCCTTGGTCTGGTTGAAGTAAAAGTGTTTGTCTGTGATGATCCTCTTGAGCCCCAGGAAGTCCTGCACGCGGCCCAGCTCTCCGGCCGGGTCGCTGATCAGGCGCTCGCCGCTCACAAACAGGATCTGCTCCATGGGGAAGTACTGCAGCCAGTTGTCCAGGTGCTTGGCGTAGATACCGATCTGGATGGCGCTCCACGAGGTGTCGATGAGCCCCGTAGTCCTGTTTTTGAAGGTGAGGCTCTCGAAAGAGGGAATGTCAGGCTTCTTAGACAGAGTCTGTGTGTAGTCTGAGATAGCCCTGGTGACGGGGTCCCTCACTACCACGATCAGCTTGGTGTCCCGGGACATGGCGGAGATCCGGGCTGGAGCCTCTCTGGTCACAAAGTAGCTGGGCGTTTTCTCCATGGTGATCTGGCCCTCCAGGGTCTTGGGCATCAGCTCCCTAATAAGAAATAAGTAGAAGAGGGATGCAAAGAAGGAAGTGAGATATTTGTTTGACCTGAACCTCTGACTGAAGCACACTGAGCAACTGACACAGTTGTACAACCTCTCTTATTACAATAAACATTACAACTGGATGAACTCAGGCTAAGTCATCAAAAACTCTAAATCCAATCAATCAAGAATAACACTGGTGACGGCCTGTTTGCACAAGTTTATTTATTTGATCTCTATCAGGTGTGACCAAATGTTGATTTGCAGTTTTGGCGCAGCACCGTGCTCAGACTGGTCTCTGGATGTAAAGACATACTCGCGGTGATGGCATGCAGATGCTACTTCAAGTGTTCCTTAATGTAGCCTGAGGGTTTATGAAATCAAGAGGCTCCCCTGGGTGCATTTGAAAGGGGGTATTCTTCACTCTGATATGGTGCGAAAAGAAGAACGTCAATCTCTATTCCCATACTATGGTAGTACTGGCTATAAAATATTGATACTCGAACAGAAAGGCCCTCTCAGCATAACTGATCACCTTCCTGTCCTTTCGCCTTTTGGAACAAATGATGGAAGAACAACAAGAAAGTGTTTTGATGCTGCAGTTTTCCATTTGCTGTACATGTGGTTTAAAATTGTGTTTATTTAACTAATGAATTGGGGACATGTGCTGTTTGTAGGTGTACTTCTGTAGTTCTACTTGAGCAATCTGAACACACTAGAGGCATAGACTCTATTCTAAATGTGTTCAACTCCATGAAATTAAATCTTAGTAATGAAAGTATATTTAGATCAAAAAAAGTTCAGCTAGGTGAACCCTGAGGTTATAACATTTGATGGTAGATTTTATTTGGCAAAATTTCCTCATCTGGCTGAGTCCTTTTTCACCCCAAATTCACAAAAGGGATGGGAAATAAGCTACTCCATTTGGCCATACCACCCCCTCCACTCCCACTCCTCTTTCTTCACTTTCCTTCTGCCCACCTGCCTTCAGGACAGTGACTCTAAGCAAAACGGGTAAAAGCAGCTCATGAATGATTAACGCGCCCTCCCCCTGCCATTTAGAGCCTCTGCAGAATACAGCTTTAAAATTCACCAAAGTACAGAATGCAGGCGTCAATTATTCATCTGCTCGGCTGGTGCTGCTTAAAGCGAGGACTGGCGCTGACAAAGTGGCCCAAGCTGCTCCCAGGGTAGACGCAGTTTTCCGCTCGTGACAGAACTGCTGAGACCCCAAAGGAGGGAGGCCCTCAGAAATTTCTGAAGACTCGAGAGCGCTCACGACTCCAATCTGTTTATGTTATCGCACAGTGCCAAGCACCGGCATATACAGTACGATCAAAGTGCAGCTTCTGCTTACCAGCGTGTGTCTTTTTCTGATGTGATGGGCACCGTTTTTCTGCCTTGCAAAACGGCTGGTAAACAATCATGCTCCGTTTAACATACACAGACTGAAATGAGACAGAGGGCACCGAGATGCTTGCCGAGGCCAAGCTTTACACAAACAGACAGCGCTTCTCAGAGACAGCAGCTGTCATGATGAATGCGATGGCTGGTTTCACTGAGGACCCTAAACAACTAAACAACAAAATTACATTATAAGCTTTCCTCATCGACAGGACAACATTGGACAAATTACTGTTGCAAATATTAGAGGATTCTTTGATCTGACACTGCTATGATTAAGGTTGGGTTAGGTTTAGACACAAAAACCACTTGTTCATAGATTATGGAATGATCATGGTCACATTAAAAGAAACCAACAGGCAACAGACACTGATCTCTTGAGCCAAAGTCCAACATTTTCTTGACCCATCCAATGACATCACACGACTTTCATCCTTTGCTTATTAGATTAAAACCAAGTCAGAGTCAGGATTGTGGAAAACGGCACGTGTCTGTCTTTGCCTCTTTTCTGTACGGTTGTTTCAGGCTTTAAAGCAGCTGCTGGTTGAGCTCAGCATACGAAGTGAAACAGATCTAAAAGCCATAAGTCAATACCTTCTGGCCAATGTCAAAACACATGCAATTTATGTGGTTGAGTATCCTGAGTGGATTTTCTCTGTGAGGAACGGATCACACAGGGTCAGCACAAGGGGGACATGCAGGAAGTGGTCGATAAGAGCAAGAGCAGCAACACAGGTGCACTGATGTGTCGACATCCGCTGGCAACATTGACCATAACCTGAGCCCCCCAGGTCCTCTCAGTATCCATGACCTCTCCTACAGCTGTGTAGGAACATGGACAAGGCTCCTTTCCTCTCACATTAGCTCTGCACCACTACCCCAAGAGTCAAGAGTGAGGCTATATAATGGTGCTTTAAAACAAACCCAGTGTCATTGGGGAAGGCAGTGTCTACGAAGCCGACAAGTCAATAGTAGAGAACATGGACAGTAATTATTGATAAAAGGGGGATGTCTGACCCTGGCGTGCAGGAAGTCTTCCCGCCTATATTGGCAACATGCTGATTTGGGAACCCCTAGACTTCTGAAACTGTCCTTACAGAACCACAACTTTATGATGCAAAAGAGAACATTATTGTGTTATGAAAAAGAAATGAGCCTGTACTAAAGGAAGCATCCATATTTGATGGCATGTGTCGAGGTTGTTCTGTGGTTGGCGCAGTGGTGTGGTGGCGCGAGGGCAGGTGGCACGTGGGTGGGGAGGGGTTAAGGGTCAGTGAAGTATGTCATATCATGTGCAACATGAAGACAGACATGTTTGGCAGTCCAGGTATAGAAGTCATAAAGCACTCTTATCGGGTAGATGTAAATTCTGTAGTTATTGGGAGAATGGTTTCAAGCAAATCTGTAGAATGTAGTTGTATGAAAAAGATACTGGTTGCACCCCCATGCATGTTCTGTTAAATGAAATAAATTATGAAAAAAATAAATAATGTAAACATGCATGCCAGGCCTTCAACTAATTATTCTAAATTCTTAAGTATTCCACTGATTTAGCATTGCATTTAGCACTCCTATAACAATGTTGGAGTCATTAAAGTTTAATAAAAAGAAATATTCTCTTTTTTATTCCACACATTCTTCTTTCTTGTCAAAACCTGTTGACTATATTACCCACAATGCAACTCGAAATTACCAACAATTCAGTCAGAGATTCAGGTGTCTTATGCTAGTAGTGGCTAATGTACCTTTAAACTGCTATCCTCAAGCAAAGATGAGAAGTGGGCTATGGAGGTCTATTAAGGTAATGTCCTTCTAACTCCGCACCCACTTTTTTTCTTTTTTCATTTTGAAATCTGTAGTCTTCAGATCCAACCGACGCAGACTCGAGTCTCATCACTTATCTGACTTTGTGCAGCTCCCTCTGGAGCCACAAAAGGCTTCATACTACTTTTTCACATATGGAGTAGTGCTCCCCAAGGCCTGTAAACAGACTTTCATCTGTATAAGCGGTGCAATTTCCCTTTAATATACAGAATGTAAAAAGAAAATGTGAAAAATTACAAGTTCCCAGAGCCCAAAGTGATTTTGGACTGTACAACAATTTTGAAGATGTCACTTTTTTTTTTTTTTTAACTAGTTTTTGACATTTTACAGACTAAACGATTAATTAAAAAAAAAAACAGCAGATGAATCGTTAATGAAAACGTTTTACTTGCAGTACTAATGTTGATTCATTTCCTGTCAATCAAGAAACATTTAAGTGACTAATGAACACCAATGTTATACAAGCAGTGAACTTCAGTTCTCAGCTTTTAAGTTTTAGTTGGGCAAAGACACAAGAAACACTTGGTTTGAAAGTGAGTGAACTACACTGGGGTATTTCTTTCCATTCTACAGCTAACGCATGCTGCGCTTCCTAATGAAACTTTATTGGCAGGGTAGGTGATGTAACAGATGACAAACTGTCCAAGTGCTTGAGATTTACTGCAGTTCCATTCTGCTTTGATGTCTTCATCACGCTGCTAAAATACGACTCCCTAAGCACACTGATGCATGAAACACAGGCAGCGGGATCCACTCATGAAACAAGACACAGACCCAAACCGAAATAAGAAACACAGCACATGAACCCTGGCCTTCCTTTAAATCAAATTCCCTGCTTTGACATGCAGTTAAGTACTCGAGCGAAACAATTAAGAACATTTAAGATGACTAAGAAGTTTAGACCATCACAAACAAACAGCTTGTATACATGACACAACATAACACATGTTGTAATTGTACGTCATCCGTCTCATATGGAACTAACTAGCTGGAAAAAGATGCCAGGACTCATTTAGGCAACTCTATTCCCTATTAAAAAACCAACTCCAATGTACACAGTAACGTGCAGTACATCACTCAATGCGTCCTTTGTAGGCTCGTCTATAAAGTAACCACATCGGAATAAAGGGCCTGATGCATCGCTGCTTTCGTTTCCCTGCTGAACGAATTTCACTCGCAAACCAACTCAACTCTGCCCTCATATACAGGCTGTGACTCATGTCTGCCCATTTTTATAAATGCCAAAAAAGTATGAATGCGCCATAAGGTCTTATTTACTGTAAATCGGGTGCACACATAATATGACAGCATGACATATGAATCAGGGAGGAGTAAAAAAAAAACTAACAAGCGATCAGCTCCGAATGGGCCGTTTCCTGGTGTTATCCTGGACCTTTTTAGAAAGGGCCTTGGATCCGGGCCAATGTCTGTCAATTGACAGGAGTTGTAAAGACATAGAGGCAAGTGGGCATGAGTTCTGTCCACTTCTCCCCCACAAGCCTTTGATTCATTTTTCCTCTTCCAGCAGGGAGCCCTGGCAGGCGTAAATACACTCCCACAGTGTTCCCCTGCCCTTACCACCAGATAATAATCTTGTAATTGGCTCAATATTTCTGCTGTTTGCAGGCAAAGCAAGGGCCAGCACCGTTCTCAGCGGCTTGGACTCACCAGATATTTTCCAGGTCAGTGGATGCTGGCGGAGGTCAGAGAGACAGGAGGAGGAGGAGGAAGGGGTGGGTGATTTAGAGTAATGGCTGCTGTGCGGTGAGGGGAAAGCCC